CTATTTATTGTCTGATACTGAAGCTTATGTTACATGTAAGGGCTTTGTTCACAAAACACCAGAGCACAGAGTGCTACTCCTGTCCTCTGAAGATACTGGCCACAGAGACTGACAAAATGTTAGGAAGAACAATCTTCAGAACCTGGCCAAAGAGCCTGAAAACTCCACAACAAACATTAGATCCTGGCCGTGAAAGCCTTCGCAAATACAATGCTTTGTTCACAGTTTGTCAGCCTTTAGAAATCATGCAAAAATCACTTCAAGCCTAACAGTCAACTTGTTGTTGTTGTTTAGTCATTTAGTCGTGGCCGATTCTTTGTGACCCCATGGACCAGAGTATGCCAGGCCCTCCTGTCTTCCACTGCCTTCCGGATTTGGGTCAAATTCATGTTGGTAGCTTCGGTGACACTGTCCAACCATCTCATCATCTGTCGTCCCCTTCGCCTCTTGCCTTCACACTTTCCTAACATCAGGGTCTTTTCCAGGGAGTCGTCTCTTCTCATGAGATGGCCAAAGTACTGGAGCCTCAGTTTCAGGATCTGTTCTTCCACTAAGCACTCAGGGTTGATTTCCTTTATAATGGATAGGTTTGTTCTCCTTGCAGTCCAAGGGACTTTCAAGAGCCTCTTCCAGCACCACAATTCAAAAGCATCAGTTCTTCGGCGCTCAGCTTTCTTTATCGTCCAGCTCTCACTTCCACACATCACTACAGGAAAAACCATAGCTTTGACTATGTGTACTTTTGTTGGCAAGGTGATGTCTCTGCTTTTTAAGATGCTGTCAAGGTTTGTCATTGCTTTCCTCCCAAGAAGCAGGCGTCTTTCAACTACCATTATGTTATCGTCCAATCTGATGCCATTTATAAATTTCAGGATTTCATTTTAAGATTGAATCTTTGGGAATTACAACTCTGACATGTTTTTCTAATCTGTGGAAAGCACAAATGAATGTTGGTGGAAAACAATAAAAGCTTATCTGATCTAGAAATATTTTAAGCCATATTCTTTCTCCCTGGCGTCTATCTGATATATGAGATCATAGTGGTTGTCACTTACTAAATGTTTGAAATTTTACATGTGATTTCTCTCTCTTCCTTACTGGCTGTTGGCATGAATCCATGGGATTTTAAGTATCTCTGTACCATATCAGAATCCCATACTATATGCTATCTGTGTCCATTTCCACCTCCCGGTGTTGTTGAACTTTAACTCTTGTCAATCCCAGCCATCCTGGTAAATGGTGAGGCATGAAGAAAATTGTAGTTCAGTATATTTCCTCACCTCTGTCATAGTAGTTGATGGAAGAGTTTGAGGGTGCTGTTATATATTGCTGTTTTCACAGTGAAACACCAGTGTTTCTCAAAACTGATACTGAAATATAGGGTGGACCAGCAATTAGTTTCAGGCTTCTTGCAAATTGAGTTTTTATGTTCTTTTATCGGATTTATGAACAATAATCTCACCACTAAGCCTCCTTCCTGGAGAAGATAACACCAACGTCACAGCTATTCAAAGCTGTCATCTACCCACCTTCTTTAGGAAAAAAGAAAAGAAAATATATGTCTGTATGTTGGGCTTCATATGGTTTATATCTTTTTCCATGTGTCTGCAACTTTATGATGATGACATGCCAATTTGTCACTATCAGCTATTGCTACCATTGCTTCCTGCCAGTGCTTATACCAGTTGACTCAACACCTACATAGAAAGAAAGCAGAATATACAAAAAGGCAGACATAAATCCACATTGGACTTTGATGATTAATGCAATGACTCAGCCTCTCAGTCCTGTTTCTCTTGAGATCAGTGTATAGCTTAATCAGAGCAATTTATTTTGCAGTTGATTTCTTTTGATTGCGTGATTTCACTATCAGGTGGCTCACAGTGTGGGAGTGAGTCACCATTTGCCAGGAATGATACCATCCAACTTAGGAAAGTGAGAATAAGTGGCATTCTATTTATAGGACATGTTTGACCTTAAGGAAGTGTCACACATGTTGCAGCTAAAGTCCATCCAAAACTCAAATAGTTCCTTCTGGTGTATGTGAAGACTAGACCTTAGGCTGCATGGCTTCTATTTGTTGTTGGACTGAAAATTCCATCACCCCTTGCCATTAGTTATGCTGGATGGGGCGGACGGGAGCTGCAGTCCAGAAACATCTGGAGGGACAGCTATTCTCCAACCCTGTTGGTTAAATTTTTAGAAACTGGCACCAGAAATTGAGATGGCTTGAGAAGGAAATCAAGCAAATCTGATGGCATTAGTTGTAAAGCATATTCATGAATTTCAGTATCAGAGATGTATGCCTCTGAATACTATTCACTAAGATCAATAGCGGCAGAGGAATATTGTCATGGATTTGGGCCTCCCATAGACACCTGGTTGACCACTGTGAGAAATAGAGTATAGGAGCAGATAGGTGTTTGAGTTGATCCAGCAGGGGTATTTTAATGTTCTTTGCATGGGTATGGAATAGCTGTAAATCAGGCCACTGTACAAAACATTTATTGTATTCTGTCCTCTATTCCATTGAGACAAACATCAGTTGCCATAAGGGTGAACTGTGACAAATGACCAGAAGTGTTTGTATATTTAGATTAAATGGGACTCTTCTGCGACCGCCTCAACAAACAAACATCTTTGAACAGGCACATTAATATACAGAATTTTATGCATCTCCAGCTATAAACATTTTTTTCACATGGTATGGTGTGAGACAGAATAGGCTTGTTCCTTTTCTAGGGAATACTTGGCTTAGCTCAATCCCTGGTAATGGGTCAGTGTTCTTGATTTGTTTTCTTATGTCTCCAGCTTTTAGAGGCCAAAAATGGCTTTTCCCCTCGCTGTGAATAATTAAAGTTTTGTGATGAATAAACTCCTTCATTAAGAGTTCATTTATCAACAGCGGCTTTAATGTATACAGAACCCCACCAGAAAGTATTCATCAAGAGTAGAGCAAAAGCTGGATTTGGATTCAGCATTTCATCTTATGTCAACACTTATTTTTCCAGGGATCATACCCAGTTTATAAGCCCAACAGCTTCTTGCCTGTTCTTTGCTTTTTAAACTTCCAAAACAAAAACAAGAATACAAAACTCACTACTACAATGTAAGCCACAGTGCACCCCCATACCCACGGGACCCTTTGGAGCAAGACTTTTATTATGAACCTCATTTCCAAAATTGTTTTATTGTTATTTAGAGGCTTTCCCCTTTCCTTTCACTAATACAAATTCAATAAATCTACTCCAATAGCATAAAAATATTTGAACTTATTTCCCTTCCTTGCATCTTCAGTTCAGTAGTCAATTTATCATTTAATGCAATGTCCCATACCTCATTATACCAATCTTCTAATTTAATATCATTTTTATCTTTCCAGAATCTAGCTATTAATATTGTAGCACTTGTCATAAAATTGAAAATCAATTCCTTTGAGCAATAATCAAGTTCTATGTTATCAAAAATTGACAACAAATTTTAGAATTCTAAAATTGCTTACCCGTTCTTTTTACCAGATATCATGAGACCCTGATGATTATATGCTTAAGAAAATATCATCTGTCTGTTGGTTAGTTCATCAAAGTCTTGTAGCTGCCTTATTCAAAAATTGTGCCCTTTCACAATTGATTCTTTTCAGTGCTCCCTTTCTCGACATGTCACATTCTATGTATGGAGGTTTGCTATATTTATCACAGTATCTGCAAAGCACTGTTTTTAAATTTCCAAAACATAAACAAGAATACAAAACTCACTACTACAATCTAAACCACAGTGCACCCCTATACCCACAGGACCCTTTGGAGCAATACTTTTATTACGAACCTCATTTCCAAAATTGTTTTATTGTTATTTAGAGGCTTTCCCCTTTCCTTTCACTAATACAAATTCAATAAATCTACTCCAATAGCATAAAAATATTTGAACTTATTTCCCTTCCTTGTTCCTTGACTGGACATCCCCAAATATACACATGTAACATTCTCTTCTTTAGGGACAAGAATGACATAGGTGCTCTCCTTCTTGATATGTGCTTCCAATTTCTGGTGATTTTATAGGGTTTACAAGGTATGTGAGATGTTCAAGCAGTGGTTTTACCACAGTTGCCATGACAGAATAGGGATTTGAGCTCTCAGTATTCTTACAGATACTGTACAGTGTTATGACTTTTATTGCATTTAAGCTAGAAACATATTTCACTAGAGGTGACCCCTGTCATTTTGAATAATATTTATAAATTCTGAAAATATCTTTAAAGATTCTTTCATATGGTTGAAATGTTACCATCTTATCATTTAGTGATCAGCTTCTGTTTCTGGCCTAAATTTTGAACTAGGCTAGCCAGCATATGCCCAATTATGTGATCCAACCTGGGCATGTTGCTTAAAGTGATGCATCAGATTCTGTGGCTGAGGGAGATTCAAATGCTTTAGCCCTTTATCTGTTTACATTTGGCTGCACCTTGAAAAAGAATGAAGCGAAGGGGCAGAGAAAGCCTCAACAATCTCAGGGTTCACTGAGACAATGTTTGTTCAGTGAGAGGGCTCTTGGCTGGAAAGGGCTAATTTGTGGGTAACTTCATTTCTCCAGGTGTTTGTGGCCAACTCTCAAAAGCCTCACCCAGCAAAGTCAAAGGTAAGGGATTACAGAAATTGTAGTCCAAAATATCTGGAAGGCCAAGGATTTCCACCTTTGAACTAACTCAACCACTTTTATAAAAATACAGCCAAGATACATGTAAAATAAATTGCTTAGTTTATCTTTGCAGAAACTATTTGAATTGCCCTGGTGTCCTCCAACTCAAAGTGAACAAGGTTTTAATTGACTCTTTCATGTGTACCTTTAAGGATTCCTCTTCTCTTTTTGTTTCTGCATTGCTGCTTTCCTTTCCCGTTTTTTTCTGTCATCCAGAGAGACATGCACATTTGAGACAGGTTTAGACAACATATAAATTATCTGGGATGATATTAAATACACGTTGTGTTGTTTTTTTTATGCAGGGATACAGAATACAAAGGACTACAGCTCTCTCTGGATCAAGTTTCGGCAACAAAGCCATCATTCCCATATGCAAACTCAGCTCCAACTGTTTCTGACAATAGAAAAGGAAGCAAATCACGTCTTTCAAGCACAAAGACAAAGTCTAGGACATCACCATATCCACAGGTAGGGGCAACAGGAGCCCGCCCTTATTTATACTTGTGTCTGATTTATCTATATAATATTAGAAATGCCTATGATATTACTAATAGACCTTTAAGAATGCTTTAACACATTGGCCAAGTGCCCTACTCATCCTGTGGTCCCATTTTCTATGTGAAATTTAAATGTACAGCTTGCCCATCTTTCCTTATTGGTGAGATGTAGACATTCCAGAGGCATCTCAAGCTCAGGTAGGTCTCTTGGAGACATACACATGTTCTGCCTTTCAGTGTTACACATAATGCATCTATCCTTGATTGGTTCTATTCTCTAACTGCTTGTATTGTCCCTGGACCTAGAGTCGGCAGCTTCTGAGCCTCCAAATGTTCTTGGATTTTCTTCCTCAGTGACTATTCTGGCTAGCACTGATTCCAACAACATTTGAAGGACCACATATGATTGTGTCTTAAACTGCAGGCTAACTCCCGGTGTTAGTCCCCGAAAGTAGGAAGCAATGGGATTTGTCTGAGAGGAGTTCTATACATTCAGCAGATGTAGTCTGGTCAGGATTAACTGTTGCATTTATCCCTGTGTAGTGGAATACTGGTAATATGTTCTACTGATACCATGTAACTGCCAAGAAAATGAGTTTAATACCAGGGCTCGGATTAATATAATTCATAATGGCAAAACTGCTAGTTTATGTTACTATTAGACTACAATGCACATCTCACATCTGTCAAAATGATGAATATCCATTGTGAAATCATATTTAGAGTTTAGCAAAAGAGGGAAAAGTTAGATTTTGAATTTCTAAATCAGTATGTAACTCTTACTTTTTTTGTAGACATAAAGGGTATTTACAAGAATGCATATTTAACTGTATTTCTGCTGGCCTCACCCTTGTCAGAAACTGAACATTAGTCTGAAACCATTTACTCTCAACTTTGGGAATAGTTCTTGTTGGATTCTACTGTTCATATTATTTTACTCCTTTTAACCATGGGGTTTATTGACTCTCTTTAGTGATATAATTATGTAGCCACATATATATTATAGGCTCACAGAAGAAGACAAAACTAAGGGAAAAAAATCAGAGTCCATGCTTGAAGAATATTTGGTATTTATGCAGGAAGATTACAACTGGCTAGTTCTGTGAGCTTTGGGCTACAAAACAGGAGTCAGTGCTGTAGGAAATTGTAGTTAGATTTTAAAAACTTACATTTATTGGCTAGAATCTTTATGTCCATGGACAGTTGATAATTGTAATGGCAGAGGGTAATTTTTGGTAATTAAAAACATCCTGCTTCTCTCCCATGGCTTACCTGACTCCTGTGTGATCCATTTCATTGCATGAAAGGCATGGGAGCTGTGGGACAGAAAGAGAGTTTCTTTGATATCTGAAAATTGCCACTGCCAGATGCTGTTACCATGGGTTCACCATGCCAAATTGCAGATAAGTAAGTTTTGAGGACAAACTACCTCCAAACTTTGCTTATCTTCTTCACTTTCTTTTTGTTTAAGCTGATGCCGTTGGCTGTTCAGTCTTGACAGATCAGGAATGGGCAATCTTAGGTTGGGGGTGGGGAGGAGCCTCTGTTCATGCAGCACCACCCACAGACAGACTCCAGTTCAGGCAGAGTGAGTGATAAATAGAAGATGGAAAACCCCTGAAAGCTGAGGAAGGGAAAGCAAGAGGGGAGGAAGAGAGAGAAAGGCAAACCCTATAACGCTAAGACTAATGCAGCTTAATCCATCAAAGCTCAGAGAAGAAAAGGAGCACTCAGTGTAGACATGATGTCTCATAAAAAAAGTGAAAATGAAGCATGGCAGTTCAGCACCCTAGGTAACAGCAAATTGAACAAAAATAGGGGGTGCAAGATAATATGGTGCCATCACTACCTTCTCAGTGACTCACAGATCCTTCTCATCTCACATCACCTTCCATTTCACTTTCCTCGGCATGTCTTTTAAAACTTTTTAACCTTCAAATGCTGGTTTTTTTTTCTTATTAAATTGGGGATGGTACCAGTTTACTCCAGGACCAGATCAGAGCTGTTTGCTTCAATCAGGGCACACCTACTTCAACACAAGTAACTTGTTTGGTCTAGAATTCAGGATTTGACTGCAGCCAGTGGCAGAGCCCTAAAGAGAACTGATAGTTTTTCTGCAATATGGAGCACAGCCTTTAATGTCCACTCTAAAATTAGTAAAATGTGATGTGCATTTTTCGCTTGTTGTAGGAAAGGAATCAACTTGGATGTACTTCTAAAACTGAAGAAAAAGCTAATCCAATTCTTAAGCAGATTTAAGCATAGTTTAATTTTGTTTGTAGTCTTTGGTTTCTGTCAAAGTGGCTTGATTTAATCAGTCCATGTGTCTTTGGATAATATGGCTGTTATTTTCATCTTGGTAAAGGCATGTAAATTACTTTTGTATCATATTCATTAATATTGTACAGAAGACCATCAAGAACATGGACAAGCAGAGTTATTGATCATGCTCATCTCAGTTTAATTTTTCGTTATAATGATCACATAATAAAAAGTGCCCTTGGCATAACAAAAATTTTCAGTCAGCATTTGGTTCAAATTTTAGAGCTTCTGCATTATTAGCAGTTTTGCCAAGTTGGATTTAATTAAGTGGTTGGAATTTTATTTGCAGCTATAAAACTCCAACTATATTTACTGTAATACAGTTAGATGAAATTTTGCCCAAGTTGCTCTCTAATGAATACTGAGATGCCGCTGTAGCTTGGGAGTTTCTTTCCTTGATTAAAAGAGTTATATAAGTAACATAATACACTAACTTTGATATCAGCAGGTGTTGGCAACTGTGAAAACTCAATGAAAAAACATCCCTTCTGTGATAGAAGTGACCCACAAACTGGTACAGACTCTCCAGCAGCACAGGTTATTGTAATGGTCCTGCTGTGCGATATTATTTTAATTGAAGCCTTCCACCATCTGTTGTGCCAATCTAACAGTGAATACAAAAAGAACATACTTCATATTTTAGGGTTACTTTAATAAAAAGAAGGATAAAAGATACTTAAAAGCCAACATATATTTTCTGTACACTGCGTCTGTGATCACCTTCATGTTTAAGACACACATCAAAATTAAAATTGTGAATTCTCAGTGTGGCAAAAGTTTTAGATAGTAAGAGAACTTTACCTGAAAAATGACCTCTTTCGCATGATGAAACATCTCATCAGAACCTGAGATAAGAGTCATGTGTGTTGATTACATTTTTCTGGAGGGTAGAGATGTGTGGTCAATAAAAAATGCCACAAAAATTTGTGGCCTCTGCAAGACTAACAAGATTTATTTGACATAAGCTTTTATGGACTCTAGCCAGGTTCATTAGATGTACTTGGGGAAATGGGCTACAATCCCTGAAAACCTACGTGTGAGTTATAACCTTAGAACCACAAAGCTGGGAGGGACCCTACAGATCATCAAGTCCAGCCCCTGTCAAGGATGTCTAGCAGGGAATCAAACACCCAATCCAAACCACTGAGCTATTCAGCATTTTCAGTTAAACTACCACTGGTGTGGTCAATCATGTTTGTTGGTAGAATTTTCAGCATTTAGCAGAGTTTTAAGTCAGTCCAGGCTGTCCAGTATAATGACACACACACAGGCAGCTTCTTCCCAATATATATTTACAAGTATATACAGACATTCTAGCAGTCCAAACCAACAGCAGCATAGCACTGTTGGTGCTATGGAAGAGATCCAAATCTTCTCCACATCAGGAAGAGATCCAAACCTTCTCCACATGTCCCACACATTTATGTCCATGTCCATTTACATATAGCCAATCGGTAAGGACATTACATCACTCAGACATTACTTCATATTACAACACACATCTTGTGTGACTCAGCACTTTGCCCACCTGTTCAACATGGCTGCTGATTACCACAGGCCTCATTCTGTCTCAGCATGGAAATTATCCTTGACAACATTTTTTCCCCAGAATTTGCAACTGATGTTCTGTGTTAGTGACCCATCATCTTCATTTAGTAATCACACTGGTGATCTTCCTTTTGAAGCGCTTTCCTGTCATCTGTTCTTTGACATATGAATAGAACCTATCAACTTTCCCTCTCGATTTCAGCTTGGAACAGCAAATAGAATTTGTCTTTTTTTTTTTTTTTTTTAAAGCCCTTTTGTGAACAAGTGGGAAAATTAAATAAAAAAGCTACATGCTAGGGTAACTTCTCAGTAAAGTATCATAGAGTGAAGGCATGGTCTTAAGTAGGATATGTGTCAAAATTAACAGGGTAATATTGAAATCTGATATAGAAGGTCTGTAAGCTGCTGTTGAAAGTTCAGCCAGCAAAAATTTGCTGGTGCACAGTAGCTTAATAAAGTTAGAAACCAGCAGTTACTTAAGTATCATGGGTAAGTTCCACTGAAATTGGCTGTGTGTGGTGGCCTAAGCTTTCTTGGTCTCTTTTCTTAACCCAAGTGTTACATGGCTTTGTAATGGGTAAGGCGATAGGTTCTGCTGAAGCAGTTCTTGTTGTCAGGGGCTAAGGGCATAAGCTCTGGAGCTCTTTCAACAAGAGTAGGAGAGGGGAGGGCTAGGCTCTCATAAAATGTATCAACTTTCCCATTTTGTCTCCATGTTTACACAAAACATTGGGTAAGGAGAGATGCCTTGAAAGACTTTACTTCATTCTTGGCTGCAGTCCAGTGACCACTTAGAGAAGACTCATGTGACCCATTCTTTAATTGCATGGGGACTTACTGTACTAGTCACCCTTACTGGGGTGATCTATAAAGAACCTCCAATCAAAAAAGAATTTTATTTGAACCAGTGCCAGAAACTGGCCTTGAAACATTTCTAAATGTGCCCAAGATCTCCCACCCTTTTACACACATCAGATACTCCTGGTCAGAAGGCTTTAATTAGCTTTTCAGTTAGCTTTGAAACTAGCTGTTAAAAAACCTCCAAAGATGAAGCTCCAACAGGGAAGTGGATTGTATAAGGATTCCTCCCCAGAATCTAAA